TCCATTTACCATTTACCATTTTCAGTCATGTAAAACCAAACCAATTAATACTTTCTATAGTCATACTGTGTGAGACATTGTTGATTTAGATGATTGATTTATATTGAGTCATAACACTTAATGCTTCATAGTTGTTGTATGGGCACGTTGATCCTTACAAACTAAAAGTAGGTGTCAACTTGACTCACTGGTTTGGTGAGCTCCGACTGCACAAATGACAGCATGTTCAGCACTACTATACTTGAGTTTTTTTAATTATCTAATAGGCATTTAATTTATAAGCTGTAATTAATAATTTTATAACAGTTAATAAATAGCCATTAATAAGAACAGCATTCAGGCTGCCCGGTTGTAGAAAAACTTCATCATCTAGCATGGCATGTCATTTAGCTAGCTCTTTTATTAGTCAGAAAGTCCCCTTTAAAAGAACCTCTAGTTAATATGTTCATGTTGATAAGTTGGATAACCTGGATGTTCCCCATCTCCTTTCCCGAAGGCAAGTGCTTAAAAGGTCCACTGGACGGGGCTTCCTGATGAATTAAAGAGGTGGTTAAAAAGACAAAGGTCTTTCTGGAGAGGGTTTTAATACAACCTGGCAACCCTGAAAGTTGTTCTTATGAATTGTGTATAACTGATCATAAAGCTTTAATTAGAGATGTATTAACCACTATTAAAAACAGCTTATAAAAGGTGACTTATTAGAAAGCAGTGCTGTCTTTTTATAGCATTAACAAGAGGGGAAATCTAAATGGTTGGCAGGGGTCCTTTAAAATGCCCAAACATTTCTCTCTTCAACAGCTTGTTATTTATTATATCAAGGACTCCTCAGGGGTATCACTGTTTTCAGGAGGTAATTCAGTTATATTGTAAAACTACAAACCTGGAGAGCATGACACTGTGTGGGCCAAAATTAAACCTATACAATGGTGACCACTTTAACAAAGCACCCTCTTAATAAAGGGTTTACAAGTTGTAACTACTGGCTTAATTAGTGGTTAATAAATAATTTGCTAATTCTTTATAGATAAGTTATAAGCCATTAATTCGAACAAGTGACCACCTATTTGTAGAAAAAGACTGCAGGCAATCTAGATCTGATTAGTAATAATTTCTTAACAGTGTTAACTGCAGCCATGATTGCTCATCAGAAAGTGACAACACCTTGGTTGGTATTTATTAATGATTACCAATATGTATAACTGCATTATTAACAACTAGAAAGACAAAGTCATGGTTTTACTAATAACACTATAATGTGTTTGTATCCAGATAAACACATGTTTTTATAAATGTACAGTATTTTCAACTATTTTAAATTAGAGAGGGCATTAAGGTAAAATTAAAAAAATCCTTTTTAATGTCTCCCAAAAGAGAAAATTGTCTTAGATTAAGGGATTTGCTGTATAAAAACAGACATCTGGCAAAATAAACTTGATAAATAGATTCTTTTGGAACACACTACTCATAGAAACACATAGAAAACCCAGTTTAAAATGCAAGAATTTCAATGATAATGACCCATCCCCCTACTCAGAAAATGAGACCTGAACTGCAAATGGGATTTTCACAACCTGGCAACCCAAATAATAAATCCATATCTGATCTATAAAGCATTCGTATGCTTGATTTAAAAACCATTATTAAAACCATTTGATACGACTTACAAGCAATTTATAAAAGATGGCTTATACAAAGTTGATCCCTAATTAAACATTAATTGGTTTATTTCTTTACCTTAAAAAGCAAATGTTTTTGGTAGAATTAGCTGGTTTAAACAGTTTCCACTCTCTCTCTGCAGGTAAGGGAGATGTATTTGGGGATGTTTTCTGGAAAGAAGTGACTCTCGCTCAAGCCTGTGCCAACGTCCGAGCTCTGACCTACTGTGACCTCCACGTCATTAAACGCGACGCTCTGCAGAAGGTACTGGAGTTCTACACAGCGTTTTCCAACCACTTCTCAAGAAATCTGCTGCTCACTTACAACCTGCGAAAGAGGGTGAGTGACTCTTCAAACAGCACCAAGAAAGAACAAGTTACAGTTGACTTACTTTTTATGTCAGAATACTATAGAACTCGTTAGAACAGCTGTACACATAGAGCTCTTAAAATATATAGAAATGTCGAATACCATTTTTTGTCAATTTAAAAACTAACAAGAAGTAAAAATATTATTACAATATCAACATAACTATAACACTCACTTCCAAGATTAACGCCTCTCTAAAACAGTTATAATCTTCATAAAGGGAGGATTTATTGCAGGACTGTTGTAATAGGCTGCATTAGTTTGAACTAGGTGTACCTAATAAACTGGCAACTGAGTTTTTAAGTGTCAGCTTCAGTTCTAAAAGTGCAAGTCAGGGTAAAAGACACCTACTGTTACTGTTGTGAAAGATGTTTAACTTGGCTAGTTAAAGTTGTAATTTCAAGATTTCAGTCCTGGTCTATTTGGCACCCCTGTGGTTGCCGTGGTAACAGCAAGTGCGGTTTAATACAGCAAACATGTTGAGCAGTTAAGTTGTTAGAAGTTCAACTGAAGCGCAGCTGCTGCATCTGTTTACAACACAAGCAATGTTTTAATAAAGAAGTCAGTCAATAATAATAGCAGCTGTGATCTGATTTCATGCTGCATGTGGCACAAGTAGTCTTCCACACCACAGCAGGACGGAATGAAGTTGGTTACCTTGCTGAGGAGTTAGAGGTGTGCAGCCTGTCGCCTGCAGCTCTTCATCTAACAGCTCATTCTGGCTGTGCCTTCTTGTTCGATCCCTGCAATATTTAAAACTGATCTGCTGTTAAAACATACACATTGATGGGTATTTGCATTGTTTCCTATGGCTTCTTGCCAATGAAAGCCTTTTTTGCATTAGCAATAACAGCAGTGTGCATGTGAAGGTAATCTGAATATAGCGGGGAAATGGCGGACCCTGCCACTTACAATGAAAACTTCTATAGTGAGAGATAGTTACTTAATGTATATACATTGAATGGCTATTGCTGAAATAAATCACCGTAAATCAAAATTTAAAAATGTGTTTTGATTTCATAATCACTTAAAGCAAGAATTGGGCTGATAACATCAATAAAATCCTTTTTTAGAATAGATTTAACAATGTAATAAGAACAAGATTTTAAAAATATAGTTAATTGGATTCTCAACTCTATTTTTCTTTTGTCACTCTTCCTCTGGTAGTGTTCAGTGGACATGCTGCGTCCTGTTGACAAGTCATAATTGCTGTGATGTTTTTGCACTGTGCTTCCCATCGATCACATTGTAGTATGTGTTGGCTAGTACAGTGACTTCAGGTGCAATTATTTTTTCTCTTTTTAGCCACAGTGGCTATTGCCACTCATGTTAAAGCTGTGGTTAGATATTTTGGGAAATGTGCTTTGTCGCATTCTTGCTGAGTGTTGGATGAGAAGATTGAGAACCACTCTTGGGTATGTTAGTGAAATATAAAGCAACAGCCAAGAAGTTGGCTTAGTTTAGCATAAAGATTGAAAGCAGGAGGAAACAACTAGCCAGGCTCTGTCCAAAGGTAAAAAAAAAACACCTCCCAACATTTATAAAGCTCATACAGGTAAGCTAACTGTCTCCTGGCTGTAGTGGGCACTATCGATCTTATGATCTAACTTTCGGCAGGAAAGCAAATATTTACCAATATGTGGCTGCACCAGAAACATTAAACACACAGTTTCTAAAAATGATAATGCTTTATGAACCTAACTTGGTATGGTTTTCCTAAATAACAAACATCATACATGTTACACAGCTAAACAGACAAAGACACAGTTTCATTATATTAAAGCCACTACTACACCCTTCATTCAGAAATGAACAGCTGTGATCAACAACTCAAGTGTAGCTACCAATCATTACCTCATTCATGATAAGGTTAGCCTGCCCAAGAGAGTGCCAGTGGAATTGAATTGCCTGCATATCAAGAGGCAATCTCATCTGCTGCATTAAACTCGCCATTCACCAGGGCCCCATACTTTCTGAATGTATGCAGCAGGGAAATCCAGAGATGGATTGAATGAGGAGCCAAGCGCTGCCTTCAAATGAAGCTTGTGCGGTTGTGTTTTCTACTGGGAAATCCGGCACACAGTTTGTTCAGTATTTGAGTTGTTTAATTTGTGAGAACAGTGTTGCTATGAGACTGAGTAGGAAAACTGATGTTGGCTCACCTCTTCAAAAATGATGAATTATTTTTTTTTGCCTATTGCATTTCAGTATCATGCCCGAGAACGAGAAAAAAGTAGATGACAAAAAAAATATGAAAATAATTAGAATACAACTTTATTATCCAGCCGGGGCCTGAAAATCTCACCAGATCAGATAAAAACATCACCAGATCAGATAAAAACATCACACTACATCAATGCGGCAGATCTCATCACATCACATCACAACAGTTAATATAACGTGCACACAGTGTACAGAACTGAAAAAGTTCCTTGCATATGGTATAAAAGAACCCTTAAAGATCTTTTTGTTTGCCAGAGGTACTCTGTAGCTTCACCCTGATGGAAGCAGCTTAAACTCAGTATTTAGAGTCACTAATGATGGACAAAGCTTTCCTATGTAGAGCTGTGCTGTAAAGGTCAACCAATGACAATAAACACAAACACCTGAAGGAGCGATCGCTTCCAGTTTCTAAGTCATCAACACCACATTAGTTTGTTGTTCAAATACTAGACTCTTCTCATGAACCTTATAAACTCACATATTTCAGCCCTATAATTCTAATTTCTCGCCGCAGATTAAGAATACCAGTAGCCTATTCCCAACAGTGATGGTAGTAAAAGCAAACAAATCTCCCCATGCCCAATAAATTCTCAATTTTTTTTGGAATCCATAGAGCCACTGATGAGGGGCTATATTTCCACAAGCTGCCTACCCCTGCCATAGCCAGAAAATGTATTTATTCATCGAGGGATTGTTTAATTGGCTTTTCTGAAAAGCTGAAACATATTACAGAAATTTTCTGTCCATATGCTTTCAAATGTTGGGACGTTGGAACACTAGTAGAGCTAGACCAATAAACCAGCAATCATTAACTTATTCTTTCTATCATTAACTATCCTAGAACATAAATTCAAAATAATAAATAAATTAATACAATTATTACGTTTTTTAAATGTATGCTGCCTTTAATTGACGACAGAGGCTCATTGGGATTTCTTTTCCAAGAGACAAGACCAAGTCACAGACATCATGTTGCACATAAGTATTAATCAAAAGTACAGAAGGAAAACTGCAAAGCTAAAACTGGTAATAAAAACACAGTTGTCCATTAGCAGCTGTGTGGTAAGCTAACGGTGTGTCTTCACCCACTGAAGCCAGAGGCATAATATGAACTTTCCCTGTGTGTTGTGGGAATAACCTCTTTGAGGTGACATTTACAAAGCACACACATTTTGAAACATCCTCCTCACACAAACTGTACAATAAATAAGATAGATACATCTGTTTGTCTAACTGAAGATGATTTCGATCTGGTTTATTACTGGTTTATTTACTATTATTGGTTCACTTCAGGAGGCTGACAAGTAGAAGTATTACTGTATAATTTTCTTGTGTGCTGTCAAACACTGATATGTTTGATCATTAAAAACAAACTGATGGTTATCATGATGGTGTTGTAGTCATACGAACTTTAAATTCTCTTGTAGATCGTCTTCCGAAAGATCAGTGATGTGAAACGAGAGGAAGAGGAGCGACAGAGACGTAAAAATGAAGCCCCTCTGAACTTGCCACCAGATCACCCAGTACGGAAACTCTTCCAGCGCTTTCGACAGCAGAAGGAAGCCCGGTTTACGACCGACAAATCAGAGCTAGATGAACGCGATATTGAGAAGGGCCCTGTGTATGTAGACGTCCCGATAGCTAATACAGCCATTACAACTACCAGCATCGTCACAGTAACAGAAAGCCCAGCAACACCCTCATCTTCAACTCCTTCATCTTCAACACCCCCCAGCTGTACACCCTCAGACAAGGTAAAGCTGCAGGTGCCATCTAGCATTTCTTTGGTAGGAGGCCGGTCCGCTGAGCCGCTCAAAGTCAAAGGCTGGGGTCGGTTCAAGGAGTCCATGGCCAAACCTGACAACTGGAACAAAGTGTCTAAGGCCGAATCCATGGAGACTTTACCTGAACGGACCAAGGTGCATGAATCACAAATGTCTCTAAAGAAAACAGACTCATGTGACAGCGGTATTACCAAAAGTGACCTGCGGCTAGACAAAGTGGGTGACTTCCGCATGACGCCCCAGGACCGAAGTCCTGTCCAGCCTCCGGAGACCAGGCACGCCTTCTACCCCATCCCAGAGCAAACGCTTCAAGCCTCGCTTCAGGAGCTCAAACTGGAGCTGAAGGACGACCTCAAGAACCTCAATGCTCGAATGTCTGGCCTGGAGGCGCAACTTACAGAAGCACTTCAACTCCTCAAAACAAGGAAATCAAGTACTGGCTCTCCGCAGCCTCTTTTTGACATTTCTAGACCTGCTTCACCAGAACTGGACAAAGAGGACATCTTCTCTTGAGGCATGGAAGAATCATGAGGAAACAATTAACTCAGCTGGAATCCAGTAATATCCAGATTACTTGGATAGCTGAGGCTGCACTGGGCACACCATTTAGATTAGGCAACAGTGTGGTCTTTAAGCCGCACCGGCCTTCATCATAGGGGTGTACCTGCTGGCCAACAAGGGAAGGCGAGTCGAAGCCCAGATTTCGGTGTCGTAACACTGAACAATTTGAGGTTACATAAAAACTGACAGCTCTATGTTTGTACATAGACAATAGTTGTATCTCTGTTGGAAGGCTCCAAAAGAAACAGCATGTCCCACTGGTTTGTTATTGAATCATTTGTATGAGATTCTTTGCATGTCACATAAAATAGACGTGTGCCTCAAATTGCAGATGGTGCAAGTGATTTGCATTTTTTCACCACGACAGTGAAAAAGGATGGTCTTTGCAGATGTTGAAACAGTCTCAGAGTAATTTCCTCAAGCAACTGATGAACTCTTTTATTATATCAACTGCCAGGATCATTATGAATTACATAACAGATAACTCTGGCCAAGCAATCAGATTTTCAAAGACGTCTTTCAGCAGAGCTTATTTTGATTTTCATAAACCATGGGTAGATGGCCTTCATGACAAATGCAGTGCTAACTAGTGCTTCAACAGTGGGCAAGTCATCCATCTATCCTAGTATGTAGTATTTGTTATTCTCAGATGTATACAACCACATACATGGTACATATATATAGTGAGAGCCATGCATTTTTAGCTTTGGTGATGCATAATTAGTTAATGCAGATGAAACTGACAATGGATAGGCCCCTTGTCTTACTTTAAAACCATCAAAAACATAGTAAGGAATGCCTGTTTGCAGAATATTTCCAAAATAAATATATTTATGTAAAATATAAAACTTCAAAGTGCAGGTTTGTTAACGTAAGCACACCAAGATAGTTACTGGAACCTGCTTCAGTGATGATATGTGATGTACATTTTTACACCAGTTAGCATGCATGGTTTAATGACTCTGTTTTCACATTCATTTGAGAAAAGCCCATGACGACATGAGAGACCAGTTGACTATTATGAAGGAGGAAAGATCAAAAATGTGAAACTTAAAGGAAGTGTTTTTCAATGCAGGCAATCTCTTCTTCTTCAATCTCTAGTGACTACAATTTAAGGTTAAAATCAACTTTATTCCAGAAATTCAAACACACATTCCCTAGACACGCCTTCAAACTGGGAGGCGGCTATCACCACCTGTTTGATGTAATTGTGTAATATTAATTACACAAAAAAATTCAATTTGGTTTATTTTTATGAAAATTGTTTTTCATTAAGTTCCGTTTTTTTTCTCTTTGAAACGAAAATGGACTTATAATTAAATTAAGTACACCGGACCCAGGCTGTGTAATCCAGTCAATAAATACATTTAAAGTTTCAGGAACAAGTAGCCAAAAGTGTGTTAAATTTCATGACTTTCTCTTTAAATTGTAATTTTGATTTTTAGATTAAAATTTTTTTTTTTCAAATTTCCATTTGATACCATTACCTCTGCTGAAACTATAAATACCCTTCTTACACTTTTACTTCCTAAATTACTGTTAACTAAAACACATCTGTGTAAATGTTTCTGTTTCAATCTGTTTACTATATTGGAAAGAGGGAGAAAATCTGCTTTAGAGCATTTTTTGGTAACTGAAATTATTTATTCATTCATTAAAGACCCTGAAGTCTACATGCATGCATCAAATGTGACGTAAAGCAGAGCCTTGAGTTCTGGTATCAAGCAATAGTTTGCTCGAGTGCATATTTAGCTGTTGCAGTAAAAGTTTGTACTAAAAATCAATTGTTGCTCTTTAAAAACAATGAATAATGCAAGGAAGTCTAATAATATTCAGTAAATGACTCATTTTTGAACAATCACATATTTTTGCAGATTGTTGCTAATGAGATCCAAAATAAATTCATTGCAATTAGTAGTAATACTGTGTTATATCACTGATATTTACTGTACCAGAACTCAATTGTGGTTTTGGGGTTTATCTCTAGTAGAAGCAGGAGCTTTACTGGTCTGCTTGAATCTATCTTTAGTATACAGTAAATGTATTCTTTAACGTGGCAAAGATAACCATTATTCTATATTATCTATTATTCATATGGATAATTTATGTTCCCTCCATGACTTCTCTCTTATCAAGACAAGCTGAGACAGAGCAGAGAGGAAAGAGATGGCAAGTTTCTTCTCCAACACATTCTGTAGCCCCATTCCCATCAAATATTCAGCTTACTAAAAATAAATGGGCATGTCATCACAGAAGTGAGAACTCCTTTGGTTCAGTGTTTGTGGGTCTTTATGGGTCTGCTTTCACAGGATATTTTGATCTCACAGACCAAAAAGCACTAAAATCATATTGCTGTGACCTCTCTAATGCAGAAAATTCATAAAGCCGTTGCTCACATGAGTTTTTACTCAGAAATAAAAAGGAGGCTGACGGTGTCTGTAAGGAATTCAGTCACCCAAAAATCTAAGAATTATGTAATGGCAGGCTTTACTACAAAAACTACAAATAAATTGGGTAAAAAGTTACGACTGACCAGGCACTGAGTACAGTACACACAGTGACTTATAACTAATGACTGAGACTAGAGATTGCTCTAACTTAATGAGGTGCTGACTATTTATTTATCTTATTTTTTCATGTGATTCAATCATACTAAAACCCACACGGAAAGTAATATTTATTTTCTTTTACAGATTATTGTTACATTGTGAAAAATGTAAATTGCTGTTTAACTTCACCAACGACACAGATGAATGACAGAATTGGTCAAATTTATAAAGTATATTTTATACTTTCATTTTGAATGACACAACCTATGAATCTTGTAAGTTTGTTCTTTTTTGTTAGAGGCACTGTATTCTTTTATTGTGTAATTGATTATGTTTACAACGTAAATTTACAAATTTCTTTCAGGTTTTTTTTTTTACATTTTACAGTGTCTAATAGGAACAGAACCAGATCTGACTGATTTTCCCTGATAAAAATCAGGGAAAAGATCAAATCTTTTCCAGCCAGTCTGATTTTGTGCAACTATTTGAACTGGACGACAAAGATATGGCATGTGGAGGGTACTTTCACTTACGCCTGTCTCAAGAAACTGAATTTTTTACCACCACCATATATATGCGTTTCTAAAATGGGATGTAGGTGCACTCCAAAACTCAGACATGATCCTTGAAAGCAATATGTAGTACTGTGCTATAACATTTATGAACAAAGGTCCAAACGGAAAACCTTAAGCTACCAAGTGTAAAGGACTTTTCCAGTACTGCACTACCACTTCATTACATTTACCCTGATATTATTAAAGTCATTACCTCTGATTACTACTGAGAAGCATGCAACACTGTGCCTTCATATCGCCCATTTTCAGGCCTGCAGTGAGAAACGCAGTGTTAAATATCCAAATTACTGTTGCTCCTTTGAAACGATTTGAACACAGAATTATTTTTGTGGTCAGCTCTAGAAAGCTGCCTAGTTATAAAACCCTACATATTTATTTATATATATATATATATATGCACAAATTATATTGCAATGTAAGATTCTTAAAGGGGACCTATTATGCTTTTGCTTATGGCCAAAGTTTCAAATAAGGAGGCAATCCCTGTGAGCAAAAAGCTCAGGCTTCAGACTACTGAAGCTGTTGTTGGCTCCTTGCAGATTTCTTTATGCGGTCATCTGCTCCTGGCATAGCCCACAAAGTACAGCGATGCGTCCATCCAACTGCTCAGTTATTCGACCACTCTGCTCAGGACTACTCTACAAGTTTTTGGAGGTTGTTCAGTATGTCTCACAGGAATGTCTTTTTTGGTTGTGAAGGAAAGTTGGACAGTTAGCAGTTACTTTAGCAACAAGTAAAGCTAACTGCTAACTGTAACTTCTGTTAGCTACTTAGCTTAGGTATCCATGCAGATAGTGATTTAGCTATTTCTGTCTCTCTCAGACTGGGAGCTTTGGACCGGTGGCAGGAAGAGGTTTGTCTGTCTCCAAATTGGCCTCTGTTGGTCTCCGAGGGCGGGTTCCGTTGCCCACTCGCCTGGCTCCGGTTCTGGTGCCTATTCCAGCGCCACCTGGGTGTTCTGAGGATGTACTAAGGGGCTGGATAAAGGGCCATGATACGATAAATAATTATTTTTAACTGTGAATCATGTAAAGCTACTCTAGTGGAGTCCCTGAATAAAATATAAAGCTGGCACAATAGGTACCCTTTAAGTAAGAGAAATGTTTGAATTTGCTGTATGATTTATGTAATATGCACATGCCTCCATGTTCACACGTCATGTGATGAGAAATGTAACAAGCACAATGGAAACTTTGTTATGAACTGTTACATACTGTACGATTCATAATAAATATTTTATACATACTGTAACCTGTCTGTTGTTCTCTTTAGGGTGCTGTATAGCGTCCATTCTGACCTGTGAGAAATGTCAGTCTTTGTGTTTTAGCTCCCCTGCCAGTGATAAGGGCACTTCTCTAAGAAGGTGTAACTCAGCAGGTGTCTTCTCCTGCTGATCTTCTTACGTCAGATAAACCTCACAGTTTTGTGCTCATTTAAGAGGATTCCTCGCTGACCCCCTGCTCACGCTGATCCTACTTAATGCCACTCGGGCTGTGATAATCCTGAAACAGAAATCAACTAATGGAAACACTCGAGGCTCACCAGAACAGACTTCAGATTACACTGTACTTTTAATCTAAGTGTTTATTCACCACTGATCGAGCTCAAAATCACAGACCCATGCAGATAACGCAGTTCCCTGATTGAGAAACTGAACATACATCTAGGGAATAGTGAATTGTGGTAAGACAATAAACAACCAGAGGACGAAAGGCAATGTGAGGGTTTTATGTTAAGGATGAATCTTAGCAATGGCACTTCTGACTTATTCACCAATTCTTAAATTAATCTTCTCGGAAGCCATACCCTACAGCTGTTTGCTGTGCACTGTGAATAGTAAGAGGATCTGATTGTTTTTACCATATCAGACTTTCTAAGCTCAAAAGACAAAAAAAAGGTACAGATACGCTTTTTAAGACAGCTCCTACTACATGAAGCTGGCCTTTATAAGCTGGTGACAAACTAGTCAAACCGTGCTGGATTGCAGAGCAAATCTGAAATGAAAAAAAAAAAAAAAACACTTCCAACATGGGTAACTTATCAAGAATTATTTATATTTATATATATTTGATTTATATACAGTTGGTGTGAAAACTAAACTGCAGCTTACTTTTAAGAGGCATTTTCTCCCCAGGTCATCCATGTCTTCACTTCAATAGAGAACGTTTATTTTTATTAGTGATACATACATTTCTGCATTTTTGCTCAAATCATTTATTATAATAATTCATTATCTGGTGATTAACTAAATGGTTAAGTGATTAATGCTTACAAGTTTGCAAGTTGCAGAACCAGAAATGGAACAAATCCCAGGAAACCAAAAGCAATAAACTGAATTGACAAAACAACAAATTGAAGCCATAACTCAATTGAGATGATCTCACTGAGTATAGTCTGTGTTGTGAAAGCCAAATATCATTTATTCCTCTGTGCCATACAACTCCATTTTCCAAAAATACTGTCTTACACTGACTCGATCATAACACTGTCCTGGTTGTGTACATACTCACTAGTGCACCAAATTTGTATTAATCCTCAGCTGAACATAGTCCAACAAACGCACTATTTACTCCTGTTTGAGTAACATTTGCTAAAAACTAGAATGCCCAGCTGTTTTACTTAAATTGAATTAAACTTTATATTTTTTACCTATTTTTAAAGATCAGTGTCTTAGGAGAAGTGGGAGTGAATGAACTTGGGGCTGCCCCAGGCAGGATAGGGAAGTCAGAAAAGATTGAGAAACAGACTTAACACATTGTTGGTTTTGGTCTTTTCACAGGATTTGTTGGCAATGAGAAAAATACAGAATTACAGCTAAGCCTTATCCTTTAACATTATTCACAGAACTGCTTTGAAACTCTCTGTATAAAGTCATCAAGCTTAAAATAAATCTGTTCCTGAAAAGTTAGAGTTCTGAAAGAGTTTTATGACTCAATTTTTGATGAAGTTGATGATAAACAAGATTTTAGTTTAGTTAAAGGAGTTCTTTCAATCTATGGGGGGAGTAGGTTAACCCCTTCAACATACTCAAAAACTCCCAATGTAGTCGAGCATCCACATTGCCCTGACTGAACAGGGAAACTGTGAATTACTCATAATATCTATTTTCACATGGATAGGTGGATGTATATTCGTAATCATGAAACTTCAAATACAAGCTTTTAATGCAAACATGAACTGAGTCAATGTAAAGTTGACATTTTGGAGGTACGAGATGTTTTATATCAAACACATAAAAAAAAGCTACAGCTTGTAGTTTTTTTTACGTTCTTGCTCCAAAAATAGCTTTGCTCTGCATTCCAGTGGATAAATGTCATCTACCATTGTTACTGTGTTGAATTAAAAGCTAGAGTGTAGTCTCTCTAAAGCATTTCAGCAATACATCTACTAATATTCGTGCCATTCTACTTTGTCCAAATTACATTTGTAGAGGAAATAATGAGATTGATCAGGTTCCTGCTGCTCTATTCAGTTTCTGTGCCTATTGTCTGCTTCTGAATACACAACTGCTTTTGTGGCGAGCTAAAGGAGGACGGTAAATATTAAATTAACATTTCTCCAGCTTACTGCACCACTGAGCAATACCTTATCAGAGTCATAACCAAGGCATATTGAGGGTCCATATTTTATTTTATAATTTCTCAGAAATAAAAGTGATTCAGTGAGGCTTATTGGGTAGAAAACTCGACACTGCACTGAATTTACAGCTTTAAACTCATTCTATTCCAGTTTGTGTGCACTTTCCAGTACAGGAAAGTCTCTCCTTAGAAAGAATCAACACTGATCCTTTAAGTCTTAGCTTACAGACAGTTTTTGCCCAGTCTTGCAGGTTGTGAAAAGTGGCTGCTCAGCTGTACTTCAGCCAGGTTTGCACATGGTCTGTGGCTACGAGCCAGGTTCGCCACAGACTGGTGAAGACAATGCACTGGACTCAGCCGGTTGTTCTGGTTGTCCGATAGCAGGGATTCTAACTTCGATACAAAGTCAAGGTGACTCATGGTGGCTGAGAGGTCCACTCGAGTCCAATTTGAGCAAAGCAGTAGAGGAAAGCCAGCATGGGTGGGGCCATTGTAGACCAGCCTGAAATGAAAAGAAAACCAGTATACTCATCAGTTTTATCTGTAACAGGAAATATTTAGATTTTGAGATTCTTATTTCTACTTAATCCAGAAGTAGCGTTGGACCATGGGAGCTGTCATTGTTTAACCACCACCATTGGCAATCAGCAGTAATTATTCACAGACAAGGGTAAATTCAAGTTTTATTAATGTTACGTTTAGTCCTGTTTGCAGACTTCCTCTCACTCTGTCGAAGTTATAGCAACTACACGCGAGCAAAAAACGTACCGTTACTTGAATCAAATTTTGGATAAAAATGGGATATGTGCATAACTCAACAAAATATTTAACATAAGTCTAGTTGTTTTGAGACATTTTAATGCAAAAATGTTACATATTATATGTTTTACTCATATAAATATGGATAATTAAATTAAATCTTAATTTAGCTAAAATGTAACTGCTATGTACAGATGCTTTTGAAGGTAACTACTAGACTTCTAGAGAGGCAGTAGTAATAGTAGTAGTTTGGTCAGTTCTCTCTGCTGTACTGTGCTGTGTTACGGTTATCATCTTTTTCTATTTATAGCTGCTTCTTAGAGGGTCGAGCAGGCAGGTAAGGACAGCTGTCTCCACCTCCTCTCCAACTGGCTTGCCTCCAGATTATCTCAGTAACCTGCACCTGCACCCACAATGCTTTTCAATGGTCTATTCTGTTCTATTCATGTCAGAATCTAATTCACGTACACACAGGCTGTTTTATGCACAGCTGTACTGTCAGTTTCCTGTCTGCGGAAGAGAACGGTTACACAGGCTGGCTAGAAAAGACATATTTGATGAGAGTTGCACGACACAAAACTTAAGTATGCAGGAAATTAGCATATTTTTTTTTGCTTGCATTTGTACTTAAAAAGGAGCACTCATGATGTTTCCAGTAAATGCCAGCTAATTAATAATGTTAGTTTAATCACATTACACAAAATTTGAACCAGTTTCTAACATCTAAATGAATCCTTCAAAGCCATTAAGCCCGAGGCTCTGCGTGCACCATGAGCAAGTCGTGCCGAGACATCCCAGCACTCTGTCTTTGCAGGTATGTACTGTAAATTTCATTAACACCCAGTGTGAAATATATTCTCTAGTCATCCAACATTAGCTGTTACTGACAAACTAACAGAGGGAAAAGCAGAACTTAAAGGACGCATACACTAGCCAAATGTGTGTCAGATACTACTTGCAGTGTTAGAACTAAACAGAGTTTCCAGGCTCTGTTATTCTAAAGAAAACTATTACAGAACCCTGGCAAAGAGATGGTGAGTGGATAAAGTTAAAGGAATTAACTACTTCCACCAGTTGCATGTTACTGTGGCTCTAATCAACAGGCCTGTAATTACAACACAGTTTCTTTTACCACTTGATTAACTGAGTGCTTCGAGTTCAGATAAAGTCAAAGCGCCATTTACAGAGAGGCAACTCAAAACTAAATATAAAGCAGATTAGTGATCAGACGGACTGTGCCTCTCAAAGAAGCAGAGACTGACAACTTGTAGGTTTAGCTCTTCCATTATCATTAGTCTGAGATACACAAGAGACAACTCCTGCAGGGGTTAACAAATTAGCAAATGTGAACTTTTTTTAGCCATGCTAGTGGCATCACAATGGCAATGTCTGTCTGTCTGTCTGTCCACCACTTTGGTCCTGATTGAAGTATCTCATTAATGGATGGATGCTATTACGTTTTGTACAGACACTCATGGCCCCCAGAGGATGAATCCTGATGACTTTGCTAATTAGCAAATGTTAGCATACTAAACCTGTTAAAACATCATCATGTTAGCATTGTCACTGTGAGCATGCCAGCATTAAACACTGATGTGTCTAAGGAAAGCCTCACAGAACCTCAAGCATGGCTGCAGACTCTTGTTTTTCTATTAATTCATTGTCCTACTCAAGTAAAAGTACTGTAATTTGTATTTAAAGCTAATTTATTCGGCAGTGATTGACCATTCATTACAGGCCTTGTAGTGTCCAATTTCCAATGTTTGTGGAGAACCAACAATTTTCGTCCTGTGAATGTGAATGTGATTGCAATTGCAGTGAAGTACACATCTTACATACAGATATAAAAGCAGAAGTTTTAACTGATGACAAATTGTTTGGATTGTCTTTAACAGAAGTTTTAAGTCCTAACTTTAAACATATCCCTGAAATCAGTTAGGAAGCTCTTTATGTAACTCAGCACTATGGCTTTAGAGTGATCTTACATGGGGCCTTATCCAGTACATCTTCAGTCAACATATAGGACTATAGACATAGTGTGATTAGGAATGTAATTTTGTACCAGAGAGGTCAGAGTGCAATTTCGCTACTGCCTGCACTAATAAAAATCCAAGACAGGCTGATTTAAGAGCATTGATCTAATGTTAATGAAGCAAACCACAACTCTCCCTCTGAGGTTTAATGTGCAGGCACATGCAGACACAAGGTCTAGCTTTAGGCTTTTCTGGTGATGCGTTGCATATCAATTTAAAGTACAAAAACATGCACTCGGTGAAAGCGACAGAGTTATTAAAAGGTTTGTTCAATGTATTATTTAAACATTTTAAGAAAGCATCAGGCAGGCCATGTCATTTCTTTATTTTTCATTTTTTTAAGGTCCAATTGAATCACCATAAAAGCAAACTGAGATTCTCAGTTTAGTTTCTCGTTCTTACTCTGAATAATTCACAACAGAAATGGTATTTTCAAACACCCTGTTCTTATTTTTAGGTTTCTGTTAACTTATTTACACCAAGCCTATAGCGCTGTGTGTGTGAAATGGGTCAGGAGTGCTAAAAGAGGCATAATGTTACGCACAATTTACTTGGAGCCTGCCAGGCTTCCAACTAATTTTTAATGTCACAATAAAGTTTAACTGGTGACTGAAATACACCTTTGTCAGGTTGCTTAGGTACTGAGGCCCAGTGACTGTATGACACAATCGGAAGAGAATATGGCCTAGTCTGAAGATCCAATAAAGAAAAAGGTACAAAAGATTGAAACTGTAAGACAAGAAGAAGGGAATGAACACAGACAATTAAACAAAAAAAAAAATCTCCAAAATGAGCTGTGAATCTGAAACCTTTGGTGTTGCACATCATTCAGATTTTACACCTTGCCACTGGACTTACAAGTCATATTATTTTACCTTTAACCCTGATAACACCAAACCTTTCAAACTGGTAGCAATTCTTTTTTTCTTGTTTTTTTGAAATATTTTTAGATAGGGCAGCTGAAGAGACAGCTAAAGATTTACAGGAAATAAAGCAAAGGGCCACAGGTCGGTTTCCAACCCATTGCCGCTGCAGCAAAGACATGATCTAATTGAGTCTAATGTAAAGCTGCAATGTCTTCAAACTCATGTATCTACGCTGTTAGAAACTTGTAGGCTTAGCAATTTTTTCTCTGACTAAGAACCCCTAAAAGAAAACAAATGCCCATTTTATTCATTTATGACAGACTGTTGCTACAGTTACAGCTACAGCTCTCACTTTTCACTTTTCTACTCTGTTTCTGCACTGTATACATATTCAGAGATCAGTTGCACTGATAATGAAAACATGTGTAGGCCAATTTTTTTCCCCAGACAGAAAATTGATCAAGAATCAATAAGGGAACCGACAAAGAATCGGGCCAATAAGCTGAATCCACAATGGCATTAGTATCAATAAAATCACATCAATTCCCATCCCTACCGCCAACTTTGTTACCAATTACCAATAGCATGGCTCTCATCATAAGTCTTTCCAGTCGCAGCAGATGTTCTCAGCAAAAACGCTCTGATTAACAGACACAACCAGTACAGCACCAACCAGCAGACAGACAGTATGAGACTAGCTGGTGAACGTAGTGGAGCATTTAGCAGCTAAGGAGCAGATATTTCCATCAGGAGTTGGTGGAGACAGAAAAAGCTACAAGAAGAGTAAATATAGGACTTTGTTGGGTTGACTTCAAATAACTGCTAGTGTCGATCTGTGTCTGCTGGATGTGTAAATAGGCAAATGTTTGTACTGGTGTTATGTGTTTGCAAACTTTAAAAAATAATATCACTGCTTGTTTCACTGCCCTAAGCGGGAAAAAAACATAATTAATGCTGCTATAAAAATTTGTAAAGTCTGCATTTTATTTCTGCATTAATTAACAGTTCTTGTTAATAAAACATATGAATTATATGATGACGTATCAGAACTGAGCTGAGCTCTCGGCACTGACTGCGCGCCCAACCCAGTGGTGAGTGCAGCTCAGACTGCTTATCATGTGTAGTAAGGCTTCAGGAGGGCCTGCCATCTTGCTTTAGGTACCAAATGAGCCAAATAAAAGGCACAGGGAGAAAAACAGGAACTGGCACAACCATGAAGCAGATGTCTCTCCATTGGAGAGAGTTTTCCCATGCAGATGCATAAAATACCCAGTGTAACTACAGCCTCATCATCCCATGAAAATACTGCTAAATATACAGACCTCCTGAACAGCAGCATTTTAAAATCATTCTATTATATGTTATTTATGATTTTATTTAAACTGGCCTCTATCTCTGACTGTTGCCTTATTTTGACTGTTGCCAAAATAAAAGGCACATGCGAATCCTATTGAGTTAGTGTCGTGGAAGGCAATTTACCTTGAATGAAGACACGCTTCCAGAAGATTCTGCCAACATGTATCCCTCCAAGGAACACCAGATTAGAGAGGATGAGCATGGCAGTGGAGAAGGCAGAGAGAAGGGCTATGCAACGCCTTTCCATCGCCGCAGAGAAATTCTGCTCCTGGGAAATCAGTGAATGAACAAGTAAATTGCAGGGGAACCACGAGAGATTCTTATTGTAAATCTGAGAAACAAAAACGAGCAAAGCACCTGACACTAATGAACTGTGTGACCATAAACTAGAAGGATTACACAGTATGCCATGAGACTTAATTACTATTTTAAGAACATGAACCTTCTACCAAGGCTAGAGAGCAAAGAAGCACCCTGGACATCTCTATTGTTAATGTACTGGAAACAGATTGTTAAGCGCCAACTGTAAATGCCAATTAGATCCAACAAGTCTGTATTCGGGTCAATAACATGGCATGCATGTTTTTGTGTCCAAGTGTATTATTTACTTTTAAAATAATTTAATACATTTTATTATATAAAACCTGTTTAGTTTGAATACAATTTAAGTATATTAAAATAATAAATATTATTTATGATTTGGAAGTTCAAACCCCCAAAATGTCAGGTGGTGCAACTGTCCAAGAAAAGTATTAAAATCATATTTTAATGGTGATAAATTCAAAGTAAAATACCATGGCATGATTCCATGTTTAAAAATCTTTCAAATAAACCAAATTTGACAAATACCAATCATTTTAAAGCTGTAGAGAGCTGTTGAGCAATTTGTATGTTGGGTGGCAAGTCAGGGTGGCACAACCGTACCATAGGACTTTTATAACAGTTATATATTATAACAGGATATTGCATCAACCAGAGGACCCCAAGTGACTTTTATGGCTGGTGAAAGTCAAATATTGGTATATATAGGTTGTCCAGAACACTTTCCATGTCAGGTGGTACAACCAATGTAAAACTAAATGTTATTTTATCAAGAACATCTTTATTTTAATTAAAATAGATATGTATGAAGATGCTAGTGAAGCCAAAAGCTAACACATGTGCCCAAGTAGAAGCCTGTTTAATTTGAAATTAGTTGCAAAAGTCAGGTGGTGCAACTGCTGGAAATTACACTATATGAAATAAATAATGTTATTTAAAACTCTAAGATTATCTTATAGATTGCTAAAATGAAAAAAATCCAAAAAAAAATGAACAAATGAATCTTGAAAAATATGCATTACATCAATTTTAAAAAGACTAGAATACCTTTTTAGAGGCCTTTTTTGTCATTGACTGTAGCAGCTCCAGGCATCATCTCTCATTAAAACACAATCCACACACCATAACTGAATGGAATTATACCTATATACAGTTTCAATCTCTTTTAACCTAATGTTCTTGCACTGTCAGAAGTAAACGCTTGGATTTCACACTTACAACAATGGAGTGAATAAACGATGAGGCAAAGAGAGACTTCAGTCCATTTTCCACCAGTACTCCAGCCCAATTCATCAGGGCCCAGTACTGTAAGTAGTCATGGCCACCGTGCCAGAGGCAGACGAATCCAAATGCAAGGCCAGTGGATAACATTTTGTAAAGACGACCATGCCGTGAACCTCCGAGTGGTACATAGATGTATCTGGAACATGAGCACATAACATGAAAGCATAAATCTTTATTAACACACTCTGAATTAATTAAATATTACAGCTCCTTAAATGGATTAAAACCTGTCCAACAGTAAATAAATGGTGATAACAGACAGATCTTTAGTAAGAACAGGGTACAGATGTACTGCTGACAGTAAATAGCAGATACAAAACAAAGGTGGGTTGAAAATGGCACCGATGCACAAATAAATTGGTCTGCCCGTCACATAAATCATCATGTCTTGTTCATTGATTTTTAATCAAATAAATGTTGCTCTGATGTCCAGTGCAAAAATAGAGGCACCCTTGGGAATATCAAAGTTGTTAATAATGCTGCAACTGGGTTAATGATTCCAAAGTGGTTTCTGTGATTCACATCCAACCCTTGACACACGTTTAACCCACTTTCTATGTCAAATTTACTTTTTTTTTCTCCATCACTTCACTTGACTCTACAGTGTTGTTTGGCAAGATAAAGTCTGATTTCAACATTTTGCTTAGTAAACTGAAGATACAAAGTATATTTTTCATGAGTTAATTTATCAAACAGCAAATATCTACCACATAACTCATGAATGTCTTTTTACTGTGGTTTAAATGAGATTAAACTTCGTGTGGTATAAAAAATGGCAGCTGTATATTCATGTGATAGCCCACATGCTGTGAATAATATCCCACCAATCAGTAAAGAATGCCGTGAAGAAAAATGGTCTCAGATATTGTGAGAACCTCGTCTGTCCCAGAGGTACCGAGAGTCTCAACATGCTACATCATTCCAACACACTTAGAAACAAACATCACGTTCTGTCTAGTGTTGCTGAGCTGAGAACTAATTATCTCAGCCACCCTGTGGCTAATCAATGTACCCGAAAGATGAGCCAGCATTTTCTGAGCCTTAAATAGAGTGGCCAGCTTGGCCATATTGGAGGATAAAAGTAGGTGCAAAAACAGTTGGAGAGAAACCAGAATGTGAGAGCAAGAGCAAACTGAACACCTAAACACACTGAGTAGCTATCCATCCATTTTAATTATTTAGATATATGGATTCTAAACAGATGTTAATCCCAATATGATCATCTTCAGATATACATTAATACCCCGGATAATCAATGTGTTATGTAACACCTGACTACTGCAAGCAGATGGTGCAAACAACATGCTTACAAGCTTTATAGGCCGACACTGACAACTATCATTGTTGGTTTCTGTGCTTGTAGAGATACACAGTGTACTTGATCTTTCTGGCTTTAAGTGCAATCAGAAGTTAAAAGCAAAACAACCCAATCCATGCTCCCACTTATTTATTTACAACAAACTTTCTGAAGGATTTGGGATCAAAGCCGGAGCTGTAATACCTCAAACAGCTGGGAAGAGCTCTTTTGTTGGCCTGTATAGCTGTATGTGTGTGAAACAGAGAACCTGAGACACAGTGGCACACAGACAGGGAAAGCGTAATGGAATGGCGAAGAATGAGCCACTTAGCTGCCCAGGGAGACGAGGTGTCAGTGAGTCATGTAGAGCACATCATTTAACACCTACGCACTCATCTAGCTCTCTTCAGACAATTTCAACAGAATTTCAGAACTGCATTAAAACCTCTTTAAAAACACTTTCCTGAGAAGGAACACCAGGGCATTGTGTCATGGGTATCATTTTGCATCTGCAGTAGGATAATTGCAAGTGATGCCATTAAGCAGAAAAAAACAATTTCCAGTGGACACGGATTAAAATGGAAACTTGCATTTGCAATTTAAATCCTGGCATCTTTAGCAGATTAATTGAAGCCACTTTGTCTGATGTCTGATATGCTACATTTCATCTGTAACATATGAAAGCAGACGTACGTGTACACCGTCATACGTGTCAACACAAAAACTAATTAGCAAACAATAACCAAAACGAGGGAACCTTTTCACAGAAAATCACAGCGTGTTTTCTGACAACTGTGCAACTGTAGTGTTGCCTTAATGTAGCAACCCGCGTCTACCAAGCGGACCATAAACCCCCGATAGGCTGCATTCAGCCGAGTGTGCCTCATTAAAAGCAGACAGACTAATAATGTGTGTTGTCCAAAGTACAAGTGAGCAAACACATAATGCTTCCATTACATATGCACATATTAAACAAGGAGGCATTTCTCCAGGGTGCGGGAACAGTAATACAACAGAAGAACTATTCACCAACAACATGCAACCTCATAATCATAAGAAAGCCTACATGCAAATGCAGCATCCTTGTCCATTATGTTGAAACATGCGGGCAAGCAGCTGGAGAATGGCACTTCTTTATAAGGTTATTCAGCTGAGTTCAATGCCCCGCAGCCAGGAAATGAAGTAATGAGTAAGTGTGCAATAAATTACAGATATAGTATGATTAGACACACGCTCATAAAAAGGCAACACAAACTACAGACAGATATACAGCTAAATACATCAGATAGACAGACAGACAGATAGATGGATAGATATTCTAATATAAGAGCTATGATTTGATTTAGATGACATTTCACATTTTCAGTAAGTGTTAACATCTGAATTAGTCTGTCCACTGCTCATCAAGTGCCTCTTACCTGATGAGCCATCGATACAGGCCCTCGTCAAAGTGCCTGAAAGAGAACACAGAAGAAAAATGGATATCTGAGTCACAAATTTACATAATAATATAGCACTGAACAAGAAACACCTGAGCACTGGGTTATAAACGGAGGCATGTGCAGTATGTATGATACATGTGTGTGTCTCCTAGAAAAAGTGTTTGGTTGGGGGGTTTTTTTGGTGTGCTGCCTATAAACTGAAGCTGTTTCGTCAGTGATGTCAGTGGACAGCTTTATGCATTCCATCAATGTTGTCAACATTGGCCAGCTCAGCACACACAGGATGGATTGGAGTGCATCGATGTCAGCACATTGGTCGATCTAGTCTACAGCCAGTGGATTTTTATTGCAAAACCAAACATGCAGCCGCCCATCTCAACTTTATGTGCTGTAAATTAAAGAGTCATTTCTTATTGTTAATTACATTTAGGAACAGAGTGATTTTGCTAAGAAAAAGGGAGATAAAAAGCCCTGACACACTTAATTTCACAGTATAACTATGAGGCAAACCAGATTTTACTCACTGTCGCTGTTTTTTTAGCCAGATCCCAACATGTTTTGTCATTGTATGTTATGAGGTTTGCATTTAATTGCATGTTTGTTCTGTCTAAACCTTGTTCATACCCTCAGTTGTCTGTATATTTGGTACATCTAGCTAACACTAATGCAGTCTAATACAACAGGCCTGCAATAAAAACTTCATGAAGGTTATAATGTATTAGAGAGATGTTAATTCAACTTTCATTGTTCTTACTGTTTGATCTTCACTTTCCTGTCAGCATTTTGTAACACCTGATTTTGAAAAGTGCTATATAAAGTATAAAAAATATAAACTTACTATTACAATCATTTTGGAGGACATATAGTGTGATGCTGTTCAACTGTAATGCATTATACAGAGAGAAAAATAATGGGGAATGAATGGGGTGGACAAAATAATAGAAACACAGTACAGTGCAATACAGTTCAACAGCACCACAAACTGCATCCTTCAAAGAGGACATTTGTAATAGACTGCATTAGTTTTCGCTAGGTGTACCTAATAAACTGGCAAGTGAGTGTATATTAGAGCATATTTGTCTGTTCCTTTGTCCAGAAGTAGTGTGCATCCTGGAGGACCTCAAAGCTCAACAGTAAACACAAATGGCACTGTGACACAAAATGTTCACAGCGTGTCCTAAAATATTTTTCCAGGCGATGAAAACTTGTTGTCTTTGGCCTATTTATATTGCTGATTAAGGTGTTTTCCCCCTGTCTAAAAAGCACTGCAATGTGTGTGTCCATTAACTTGCGCAATTGTGACCCCTTCAGCCTAAACCAGGCATAGTCTTTTCCTTTGAATAAATGTAGCAATGATAATGGACTTTTTCTGTTATAATGTCCACTCCTTGTGTAGGTAGGTGTGACAAAATAGCTCAATAGGAGGTGTGTGTGTGTGTGTCTACTATATTAGACCATCACTGACTTAACCTGAAAAATAAAATAAAATTCTCTGCTCAATAAATATCTCTTTTATGTCATGCTGGATGTTGTTATAGACAAAAAACTGCCATTTGTCAGATCACACATTTCTAACTGGAATTGTATTTGGTGATTCTAACATGTAGACTGGTTTTGTTTTGTTTCATGATTTACTTTGTTGTAGTAGTACTTCTACAAAAACAGTTTTTCCTTCCAGAAAAATGGACAAGATGTGGCCTGTAAATGTAGTAATCCTCTCAGTAAACAAACCATTTCAGCTCAAGTCTGAAAGAATGATATAATGTTCCTCATGCAGAGGTGACCTATTGCTCTGATTGCCAGTAATTAAAGAAGATGAGACAATTCACGGTGACCAGTTTGAATCTTATTGCCAACGCACATGAGCACTTAAGGCACTTAACCTTAAATTGACCTTTTCCTCAAGGATACCAGGGATGCTAGTGTTTCCACTCACTTAAGTGTTAAAGGAATGTTGCAAGATCAATACAGTACCATATTTACTGTGTGCATTGTATGACCTTACCTCCACATCCCTGTGAAACTGTACATGATGCTGACACAACGAGGAAGCTTTGGGGGAACAAGTTTATCCAAAGTAGCCAGCATGGATGGAAGGCCAAACAGTACCAGATACTTCACAAAGAAGAACTGGACGAGGGCCAGGGCCAGACCGCCTGTGGCAGGGATCAAAGGAGGTGTTTAAACTAATATTTCTTATTGTAATGATTAAGACAAGTTATATACTTTACAAAGAGACTTTTCCTGTCATAAGTCAAGTAAAGTTTGTTATAATTTGGGTTATATACCAAATTTTGTAATTTGCCTTTACAATTTGTACAGCATACAACACCTTCTATCCTTAGACCCCCTATTGGAAAAGGGGAAAACCCCCACCAAAAAATGTGAAGAAACCTCAGAAAAAGCAACAGATAAGGGATTAATAGATGTAGTTAATTCACTGCTGACATTAATTAGATGCTGAGAACAGTTAAGGAGAAATGCAAAAAGGAGTAGATTCAAATGATTCAGTCTGTCTATATGTCTATAGCCATTTCCAAACCTGCTTATGGCAACATGAGGGCAGTTATGACAACGGCGAGTACGTAAATGACTGACTGAATTAATTAATTAATTAATTAGTTAGTTACATAACTTCAAAATCCCAGAGGTGCTTTATGTCTAAATAATTCAACATGAAGCTGTGCATGCAGAGTATACATAGGTCACAGTAGCAGCCACCTGCATAAGTTACACTTCCCAAAACCTAGAAATCCAAGTTTCCTAGAAAGACACAACATGGCCATTTTTGAGGGTACAAAACATGGCTGATTTTGCCCTCAATTTGTGAAAAAAAATTAAATAATAAATAATAGTAAATAATTAATTAAATAAATAAAAACATAACAGTCACTAATTTTGTCTCTTAATTAAAATATAAACAAAATCACACCATAGATCATGATGACGGGATTATGATTCAAGGCTATTGAGTGAGTCCGTAATCAGCATATCTGTTGGAGTCTTAGAACCAGCTACATCCTGAGGGGGTAACATGTTTTTAAACTCTGCATCTCGAACACATACTCAGTTGGTCTGCAGTGGCAGAAAAACATTAAAGTTCAAACTTGATATAATACTGTACAGGAAAAACAAAAATACATACAGTATAAAGACTTACCCAAGGCCCAAGGAGGAAGAATTTCTAAGTAGGTCTCATTAGACTGAATGGAGTGCATGTACATGACATGGATCATGTATTCTGCAGTGCACCACCACAGTATGATCCGTCCTGATCTGAGCACCAAGTAACTAAAAGCAGATAGTCCCCTGTCACTCTCCTCAGCAGGCCTCCGCATCTGCGAGTGTAGAAAGTGAGCATGTTTTTAAGGGTCACCACCAAAAGAACAAAAACCAGGACATATGAATATAAATCCACTCCAAAGATGGGAATGAAAACAAGCAGGCATAAAAAAAAGGTGCAGAAGTGTCAGCCTGACAGCATCCGACCAAACAAACGAATACAAATCTGAAAATAATCAAGGTACTATCCTCTTGTAAATAACCCACCACTGATGTTTTGCCAGACCAGTTTAATTCAGGAGTACCCTTTGTTGGCTCTCTTACCTGCTCAATGTAGTCTTTGTATGTGATAATGGGTCCATTGTAGAATAAAGGATGATAGAAGGTGTATGAAAACAGCCAACAGAGCTGCACAACTCCACCACGGTCTAGAGGGCACCAGCAATGCTCCAGGCTGAAGCTGATGAAGCGCAGACCACAGACAGCAACACTGAAGAGTAGCAGATAGTACTCCTCCTCGGTCTTATACCAGCCTCTCTGTGTAATACAAAGGCAAGGCCAATTATTTTTAGAACACATTCCTGGGGAATCTTTATATTAATAGCGACAGTTTGGCGCTAAATTTAGAAAAGCTTTTTCACTCTTTTTTAAAAATATCACAAAGAACTAAATGAGGACATTTGCAGATTAGAGCAGATTACAGAACTGGTTAGAAAAATCTGTCACACACATACTAATAAAAATATGCATAAGACAACTTTTTAATGAGGTCTGCTTAACAGCATTGGGAGTATCACTGCTTTCTAACACAGGGCTCGACTGTATCCAATTGTGTGTGTGTGTGTGTTGGGGGATGAGAACAGGAGCGAAAGAGGCAAATTTGCAGAAGCTTGAACAGGTCTGTCAGGTCTATTTCACTTAATAAATTCACATTTCTAACCATTGTGACTGGAGCATATTGCCTGGCTGTATCCATGCTTGATGTGTCAGATACTGTGCACTTAAAGTGGGGTTTTAGATGACAGGTTTATACCATAAATATAGTTAAATACTAACAGCCAGTGTCCATAATAACCAATCAATGCAGAAATTGAAGTTTGTAAAGTCATGTTAAAACTGAATTTGGTGTATCATTTATTGTGTTGATTGTGTTGTATTAAAGTAAAAGGCAATTTAGTAAAATATTGCTTTGTTGTAGTTATTTTTCTCATTTTGACTGCAATAAATGTTTTGACGGTCTGTTAGCACGTCTCCCACTGCATCTGACTGGTAGCCATTTTCAATTGTTTTTACGAAGACTTTTCCCATAGTCTTATCCTCAGGAAATACTGGAAGTAACCTGCTTGATATGTACGTATGCTTTTAAACTTTTATCTTATGGTGTGGACATTATGGAATAATGGAGCTGAGTGGCCAAATTGCTGTACATCACTTTGGTATCTTGTGCCCCCTTGTGTTCTTTGCAAATATGACATTTAGTGATAATCGAGTAATTCTCAAAATTGACTGATAGCACTACAATGTAAAAGAAATGGTAAATTCGCACAGTGCTGGTATAAGCAGATATACACGTAAATGTGAGTTTTGTGATTCTGTATTGGTTTACAAGGAGGCAGTTAAAAACATATTTAAAAGACTCAAATTTGCACAGCAAAAAACTCAAATGACTATACTTTGCAACATATCTTTTGCTTGGCTGTTTTATACTTTAATACAAGATGAAGACACCGCTCCAAAATCAGGTGACACAACCCACCTGGATCTGTTCAAGTGGTTGGATGTGAAGTGTGGAGAGCAGCAGCAGGTTACAGGCCCATGACAGAGCCGGCTTTCGCAGTTGGGCCACTGAAAAGGACAGGCCCAGATGTACCAGCAGCACACTCACACCTTTAATCCCCAACACACTGCTTGCTGCCAGGAGGCCATATATTGTGATTGCTGGCACTCTAAACTGTTGACGAAAAAATCAAAAATGTGTTGGATTAAATTATCTCTCAACTAATACCAATATTCTCCTTAAGAGTACTGTAGCAGCTCCTACCTTGGGGCAAAAGACGCTGGTCAATCTCGATATCACGCCATGACCAATCAGAGTCCACAGTAAAGACTTCTTAGCCCATTCAGTCCAGAAATTCCACTCGAAGTCTGATGGATCCTGACGGAAACAAATAACTTCACCATGGGGATTTAAAACACACATGAAGCCTGTTGAAAAGAGGCTTTGAATGGTCAAATAATGTGTAAGGGCCCAATGTTTTATGTGTCAACAAAGCATTTTAAAGCTTTTTAGTTTCAGTGACACAAAATAGCTTAAATAATTGTTCACTATGGTTCAGATTTGGCTTTTAATCCACAGTTTCAACACTGAACTTACCCTTTTAAAACCCTTAACAAGGCCCTTTTCCAACTGGAACTCTCTCAGTAATCCTGCTTCATGCTCTTGAGGTACAAAACAGAAAATAACAGCTTCATTTTTGTTTAACTTTTCTTCTCAATTTATCGAGCCAACGTACCGATATCTGTCAATCTCCCCTACCTTTGGAGAACCTGTGCAGTTGGTAGAAGGAGTACAGATGAGAGCCAAAGGACAGCAGCCAGTATGCAAGGATCTCTGTCCATGGCAGGGGTGCCAACTGGGCCTTTGGTTTAGATGTCATCAGGAAAAATCATTGTGCTATAGTGCGCCTAAAACAGAGTCAGTCATTTAATCTGGTCTACACCTAGTGGCTGTGAAACGGAAATGACTCTATTTATATGGTTAAATGTCTGTTTCAATATAAATATACGACATTGTCATCAGCACCTGCAGGGATGTCCTTATCAAATGAAACAATGGCGCTGTACCATCATACTGCAGCACCGTCACTTCAACAGTCTGTTACAGAGCGAAATATGATTGTAATACAATGTTTTACTGATAGTAACATAAGTCATATTTGGAAACTCTGGGAACACCCCGAGCATCAAACACCAATTGTAGAAGAGTTATTATGTAACGTTATGTTCGTGGGGTTCTGTAATAATTTGACTTATTTTTCCACACATATTCTGCATTCAAAACGTACTTTCACACGTTACTTCGTTAAGTGATGCGGTAATGTTGATAAAAGCAGCGAATGACAACAGCAGCCTGTAACCATATTATATGACGTTATATTGATTATTGTCATCGTACTGTCTCAAGTGTGCTGGTGTCAAACCGCTGGCTAACAGCAATCACTGCCGTTGCTAGGTAACACAGCTTGCTGACTATGACGTCTAGTTAGTTAAACGGACAAAGTAACGTAACCTCGCCACCGTAAACACCGACCAAACCAGCTAACGGTGCTTAGCGTCGTCTTGGTGTTTGAGATCATAACGAGAGCGCTAAAGCAAAGTTGGCGACTGTGTACAAGTTTTCGAGCTGGTTTGGCTGCTTTGATATGACCACACTGTTGGGTTAACGTTAACGTTACCTGAAAAAGTTCGGCGAGCTATTCGTATGGCCGCTAGCTGACGTTAGCTCAGCTGGCTAATCATTTCATTAAGTTAAGTTACCTAACGTTAACAATACGGGCTGGTGTCCATTGCTGGAAGCTGCAGACTGCCTGGGCCGTAGAGACATTACGATAGAAGCATACTGTCAATAAGTACACCCCGGCATCCGACATTCAAAGATACTGACCTCTTCTTCTTTTTCTGAGTTTCATTCATGATGACTGGCAAACAGCTTTCAGTACATGGCCGCCCTCAACCGTGCGGGAGTAGGTCGTCAGTTTATACCGGGGAAAAAATGTTTTATTTTCTGTTGGTTTTAGTAACAAAGAAACCTACTGTAATTCATTACTTTATTTTTTCTGTTACTCCATACTTCTACTTCATCAACGTTGTGATGAATTGACACTGAAATGATGCATTTATTAACTTATCGTGTGAACTTCAGTAGGTAAAATTATCTGGTGGTTCAATCAGTATTAAATATCTCATTAAATATATAATTAACCCTCTAAGTTAATGAGTACCTTTATTTTAATACCTAAAGTGCATTTTGCTTCTAACATTTTTGTACTAATACTTAAGTACAATTATCTACGTATGAGTTATTTGTAATGGAGTATTTCAGTAGTTTCATTTTCACTAAAAGATCTCAATATTTTAACTTTCAGCCACCACTGTTTAGTCATTAAAAGATTTCTTTGAGGTAACCTAGAACCAATTTTGCTGTTTATAAGATCTCTTTTCATGTCCTGAAAAGGATTTTCCCACACAGAGAATGATTTTCCCCTGACATTGTAATCACTCTACAAGAGGTTTGGTACAGTTTGAAAGGGTTTATTGTGGAGAAACTGTGTTGGTACAGCAGGCCAATGGATCAGCAACTGACTCTAAGCATGCATCCCGACTCAGACAGGTGTGTAGGGTTCGTAGCTCAACAAAAGATCACAGAATCCTAATAACAAGATAGGCACTGGGAAATAACAAATACGGCAACAGGTTGACATTAAGACATTACATAACATAAATCTGTCCTTCATACGCAATTCATTCTTTCCTCGTTGACTAAATCTGCAACTTCACACCAACCTTTCTGACTAATTTAAGGCGTGTTTAGACTCAACTTATGAACTTAACAAATAAACGTTTGATGTGTCATCTCCCCATAATATCTGTAGCTCGTTTCTTTTCCTTACAACCAAATACAGAGCAAAATAAGAACAATTCATGTACGCTTTCAGTTATCCACACTGAGAGATTCAAATTCATCAGTATAACAGTTAGTAGTAAGCTTTTCTATTGTGTGCTTGTGCATGCTAACATGTATGCATGCATTCAGTTATGCGTGTGTGTGTGTGTGTGTGTGTGTCTGTGCACAGTGAGTGCAATCACAGTATGAATATTTTTTCACAGCTCGTCGGTCTCTCCATCGAAGGGCACAGCATCCGTCTCCATATGAATGCTGCTGGGCTCACTGCTGCCCACCCAGCCGATAGGAGTGCGGTTGAAGGAAGGCCGGCAGCCGATGTCATGTTGGTACACCACTGCGGTTTCAGGCTCCTGTTTGGTCTCAGTTTCTGGCAGCTGGAATTTCAGGAACTGGTTGGCCTTCTCGAAGCCACCGTAGGGTATGGCAGACCTAGCAAAGCAAGGTGAGAGGGTTAGTAAAGCCTGTTTGTCACAAAGTACGTACAAAGTCGGGTTTTGAGGGACGTACCTGTTGAAGCTTTTCCATTTGGGCATATCCTTTTTATCAATGGGACCAGGCATTGTAACTTTCAGAGTGGCTATCAGATTTTCATCACCCTTCATGGCCTTCTCCCATGGCGATATGAATGTCTTCACATGCATGCCCTTCTTATCATCCCTTCCACCTCCTGGGAAGAAAACATCCATGGCTAGAGCTTAAGACACACTGCACTCATTTAAAGTTGTACATTTATATTCAACGGTCTGTGGACTGGCTAAAGTAATAGTTATGATGTCTGTGGATCATTTGTGTGAAAAATATTCTCATTCACTTTGTTGCTAAGAATTAGATGAGAAAATCAATATACTACTCTCATGTCTGTTAAATATGTAGAACCAGCAGCTGGTTAGCTTAGCTTAGCATAGAGACTGGAAACAAGGGGGAACAACTAGTCTAGCTCTTTCTGAAAGTAACAAAATCCACCTATCAGCATCATCCACACAAAAACCGGAGTGTACAAACAACACAGTGTGGTATTACAGAGGTTATGTGCCTGACTATTTCGTTTTTTTGTACATACACAAAACAAACCATTTAAATAAGTTCCTTACCTTTGGACAGAGCCACGCTAGCTGTTGACCGCTTTTCCAGTCTTTCAGCTGAGTTAAGTTAACCGACTGCTGGCGGTTGTTTTATATTTACTGTACAAACATGACAGCGGTGTCTATCTTCTTATCTAACTCTTGGCAAGAAAGAAAATAAGTGTATTTTCCCTAAATGTCAAACTATTCCTTTAAAGCGTAACTCAGCACCAGGTTACCAGGGTGTTAATTTTAATGTACACTAAAATGTAGAGTAATTGTTAATAATTCAGTGCATAGTCTTGGATTACAAATGTATTTATTCACTTATATCGGTATTCATTGAGAATGATACAAACTCAAACACATCTAGGGAGATATTTTGTGAATACATATGTAAATCCTTTGTGCTCAAACAAGCACTGGACTATAAAACACAATTCTCCAAAAAAAAAGGCAAGAAATGATACCAACCTTTTAGTGGAGACCACTCACTACTTCCTTCTCCACCTTTTCCATGGTCGCCCCCACCCAGTCCTCCTGCTTCTCCTGCACCTCCTGCTCCTCCTGCTCCTCCTGCTCCTGCACCTTTGCTTCCAGGCTTTGGAGGAGGCACAGGGGCCCCACCTCCAGTATTTAGCCCTACAAAATGCAGCTGTCCAACGTCTTTGCTAACAAAATGCCCACCGACAGTTATTATCTGACCTCCCACCTGACCACCCAGAGAGGGAACAAACATCTGTAGGTTGTCCTGAAAGAAATATGATCAGTATTACCAACCATATGCCACACAGCACATTCATTTGTATTTGCTGATAAACCATGTCTTCTTAAAGCTATACCTGACATTACTGAACACACTGAGTCATGAGCGTGTATTCGAGGCGTTTATCTTCCTCCAGACAATTATAAAACTCTAATCTAGCTACTTTGATCTGTTTGAACATCCTTGTTCCAAGTGACTTAAAATTTAAAGGATCAAGTCCATTTACAGCTGCCCTAGTACCAAGTTTCTTTCAAATTATAAATAGGTGTTTACTTAGGACAGATTAAGAATTGTAAAGTGATGAGATTTCTCCATTGAATTGAGGGATGTTTCAAGGTTTCTCTGGAATTTCTGATCATTAACCTCTATTCCTTTAAATTAAAAAAGTGATGAAAAGTGATTTGCTCTCACCATAGACTCACTGCTGAAGATGTCTGGGTTGTTCTCGTAAATGAACCTATTCACTCTCTTCTGCCTCATCTTGAACATCTTGGATCCTCGGTTGTTCTGCAGGGAAAGCTCCTCTAGCATGATATCTTTGGGAGTCCTGATCTTTGTTCCTAGGTCGAACTCAGATGCCTCTGGCTCCTCCTCATACTCTAAGTAAGGGACATTCGAACAAATGAGTGTTATATTCAGAAATGGACGAAAATGCTCTATGCTTTTTAAGGATTTGGATTGCAGACTGTAGTGACATGCCAAAGAGAAAACATAGGAGAACTGAAAATCATCACCAAAAACCTGTCTGATGATGGGTTGTTACACTGACATAATTATAAGCACAACCTTATCTTTTCATGTTTTCAAGAGTCATATATATTAGGTGTTATGTTACAAAATGTTGATGTTGTTTTGTGTGTTTTTTAATACCTTTTTTCATTTGTACCTTAGACATACAGTAACCCCACTTAACGTGTAAAACTAGTACCCTATCGATGGTACCTATAACCTAACATCCATCTATTTATGTATTCTGTGTTTATTTTGAAAGAGCTGTACTGAGCATATGGAAATTTGGTTTCATATGTTTGTAATTCCATGCCAGCCTTACCATCCTGAGTGATATGTGATAGGTCAGTTATGATCTTTGAGAGCGTTTTCCGCTTGTTTTGGGAGGCAGGTGTTCCCAGAGGCATGGCTGGAGGTTCAGGAAAGAACATGGAGTTAGCAGTATTAGGGTTATTATACTAATTGGAAACTGAACATGCACTGTTTGAACATATTCAGCAGTGTTAGAAGTAATTAAAGTAAACCTCTTTCTCTCAAGAGACACAAACAAAGTTATGTCAAATCTTCTCCACTATATATATATATATATATATATATATATATATATATGTACACATTTAAAATAAATTACCATTTCTATTTCAGAATGTTTGATGAAATAAAAAATAAAACTAAAGCAAAAAGAAATTAAAAAGAAAAAATTAAAGCGAAAAAAATTTCAACGTAGCAACTTGAGACAGTTTTGCTTGATGTCACAAGTTAAGGTATAATGTTATATTTCACATTACATTGTTCCTATTCAAAATAATTAATTGACAGTAGTATCACTCTAAATCTGTATATCCACAGGTTCAGATTAAGGTTGAAATGTACTGAAGGGAGTGTTTTTGCTTCAGTTTTAATATATATTTTATACAATTACAAGAAACTTGAACACTTTGACTGCTTTGTGATTATATCTGATCGCCTACAGCCACCAACAACCCCTGAAAGTGAATCCACAGGACCGGAATGTATTACACAGACAGACAGTATGGGCCCTGCTCATTTTTCAAGTTCAAGGGGGATGTCAGTGCCCTCAGATTCCACACATTCCCTAGTGAAACAGATGTCTGCACCAAAGAAAACATATACAGTGGCTTAATGTGTGTTTCAGCTTTGTTTGGGGACACACAATCTGTGCACAGACTCAGTCAACATAAACAGAAGCACGCTGTGGTTCAGGCTAAAATTGGTGCTTTTCCACTGCATTACTTTTAATGCCGCAGAATAGCACCAGAAGGCCTCAGGCTCATAAAATAGGATCTGATCATATTCCCCAATCTGCAGCCTACATGGGAACATGTAGGCGGGGGATGTGGGAGTAATACTTTCCTCATCTGTCAAGATAAAACTCACTGTTGAAGTATATTAACAGCCAAATTTAACAATTAATTTCTTACAACTTGTGATGCCTCCATAGTAAGTTGCCTTATGTGTTTATTTTGCACAGATTTTTGTCTTCCTACATGCATATCGCGCCTTCAGTTCTCAACCATTTCCTTAAGACCCAGTCAAGTGGCAAAACATCACATCACATCTACTGGCTGTAACTCAACCCACTGCAGCTATTTTTAAAAGCCATTTCCAGCCAAGACATTTTAGCGACGTGTAATGGCGTCATTCGACTATCAAATGGGCTTGACACCACTCTTAAGAACACAATACACACCTCCAGAAAACAATTATAAGTGAACCTCTTGCAAATCAGGAGTGAAATCGGGAGTAGTTGTGGACGTTAACGAGGAGTGTTTTGGACACCATTTTAATTGCCTTAAATAACATCAAGCTTAGGGACCCCTCGCACTCAGATTTACCACCCCCCTGTAAGGGTTTCGTAACACCATATAAAATCTCTGCAACACCCACAGAGAGGGATGGTCAGCACATTCGCCCATTCCTTTGGTAGTTTTAAGACGTACCCAGAAAATCTAAAAGCGGCAAAGTGAGTTCCAAAGCCATTTCACTTCAAACTACAACTAATCGTTGTAGAATCAAAAGCAGTCTCATCAAAAGCAAATAATCTGGTTACTTAGTTGTTGATGTCTTATTGTGCTATTTTTTGATCAGCTGCACAATGCACAGAAATTATGATTGGGAACAGGTTGCACATCTGTACTTCCTCTGCCCTTTTTTTTCAGTTGCCAGCATTTAAATCCAAGCCGCTGGTTGATTAGTAGAACAAAGCACACCGATGGGATGCATATCCACTCACCGGGTTTTTGTTGTGATCCTGGGGGTGGAGAGACAGACCTATAAATACCAAACAGAGAAGAGGAGACCTGAGGCTCAATGCTGGTGATCTCGATCACAAGTTTACAGATCTCTCAGTGCCTCTGACCCTACGTATGGCTGGAGCCAGATCCCGGGAAGTGCAAAACCCACCCTACACTCAGATGGCAGATCTTCCAGAGGGTTGGGGTTGTGGGTGGCAGCAGTGTTGGTGTCAAGACGAGAGGAGGAGGAGGAGGGTGAGGTT